CTAATTCCAACGTTGTTTAGATTTCCTTATTCTTACGTTGGTAGGACGTCGAGTCACTACCTTTTTGCAACTGTATTGAACCATAACCTTAAATCTTAAATTTTCACTTCATTGTTCTGTTCAGTCAGACAGTTCAGTACTGTTTTTATTTTTATAAAAAAAACTTAATTAAAATGGGACATAAGAAAGGTACATATATTACCGATAGTTTATCCACTCCCTCGTTTATTTAGATTATAGAGGGCGGCACCAGCTAGATTCTAGGATGACTAAATTAGGCAATCTTGCAACTAGTATACTACCTGTTAAGGCCGAACTGCGACTTTATTAGTCCAGTATGCGACTACTCGAACTACTCCATCTTAATCTCCCAAAACAACAAAGTGAAAGCCGCCATGTTGTTAAATAAGAAAATGTTTCGTTCCTAAAAAGCAATTCCTGCTTTTTGAATATATTAACTTGAAATATTTGACCCTAAATCAAATCACGCGGAAACAATTTTTTCGACTGCGAATAAATTATTCTCATTTTACTAAAAAAAAATTCAAGAAAATTTTTAAAACTTCTTTAATTTTAACGCCCATTAGTATTTTTCAAAGTAGAAACAATACATTTATCAGTCAAGTTGTTTGCGTTTAACTTTTTTGCCTTGGGTAACGAGTTACAGAGTCGGTTAAAGTGTTTCAATAATTATGATCTTCAAACATCCTCCACACTTAAATACTTTTGTTTAGTATTCCTTCACTGCCATCTGACATATGTCTCTAACTAAATCATAAAAATAATATTTTTGCTATAATTATCCCAATTTAGGTTAAAACGCGACTTAGACGCCATATTAGTTTTGTATTTCTGTGACTTAGGATTTTAAACAACGTTGCAGTTTGTACTAAATTAGGCTTCTAGCCAACGTCGGTATCCAACGTCGTTTCGACCCAAAAATTATTCTCCAAACTAGTGCAGAGTAGGGTTGGCACGAGGTTGTACCGACGTTGCGCCCCGACGTTTGGTCGCGTGACACAACGTTGTCCCGACGTCGAAATGCCGCTTGGGTAAATATATCAAAAAATGGATGGGAGAACATGATATTAAAGTTTTGTCACATCCCTCTAGCAGCCCGGATCTTAATCCAATAGAGATACTTTTGCGCAAAATGAAACAACGCCTAAGAAACGATACTCAGCGTACTTTACCACAACTACGTGCTAAATTGCAACAAATATGGGGTAGTTTCACCCCTGAATTCTGTGACGGCCTAGTTGGTACAATGCCTAATAGAGTTCAGGCTGTTATTCGAGCTAAGGGCGACGTTACGCCTTATTAATTGTTATTTTAATTTGTTAAAAGCCACTTGTTCCAATATTTAGTTGTTAGCATTTTTCGATTATCAAACAATTGATTAAGTAGTAATCAACATAAAATATGTAATTAAACCGTTAAAATACATCATAAAAAATGTTGTTAATTTCAAATTTACAATTAAAAAATAAATAAATAAAATAATTTTGGTAAACTGGCATTTTATTTGCAAAGTAACTGCTTGTTCCAACATATAGTTGTTCAATGGAACGAAATATGCTGAGAATAACCAAGAAAACCGTAAAAGAATAGAGTGGATACGACAAAGAAAAACGGTAATAGTCGTCATCTACAGAATCAAATCCCTTAAGTGGCAATGGACAGGACACCTGGCAAGGAGGACGGACAACAGATGGACAACAAATATTACCGCATGGTACCCACAAGGAATTAAGAGACCTCGAAGAAGACCAAACATGAGATGGGACCATGAAATTAGCAGGGATAACTTGGGCCCGCATAGCCAACAATAGAGAACAACGAACCTAACCACAAAGAGAGTATCTAAATATGGGAGGGAGGCTACACCATAATTGGAAATGGTTGAATAAGCTGAAAATGATGATGATGATGAATATGTACTTACTGTATCACTTCGTTTGAAAAATGGAATTCCGATTTCGCTAACGTGATGAGTATAAACCAACTCACTATCTGGTGTACTATCGCAAAGTCCGTCTGTTATATTGGTACCATTTGTATTTTCCAAACTTTCATCGGTTAAAGATGGTGGAATAGCAAATACAATCGTGGCAAATACGATAACTATTACACTAAGATATTTTATTACCATCTTGTACCATCTTACCATCTTACATGTCTCACTTTCTTATCACTAATTAAACATATTCCTGTTTTTATTTTGATTAAGTAGCATGAACTTTAAGTGGTTTAATATTATTAACTTTATAAAAAAAACTGATTCTAAAGGTATGTTTGTCAGGATGTTTATTTTAATTTTTTTCGACGCCTTGTAATAAAAATTTATCTTTGATTAATTTTACGAATTTCTAAAGAGCTGCTTAATTTATTTAAACTAAATAAAAAAAATAGTACCTAATACTAAGTATTAACTGTATGCAGTAAATAAAGATATTATATTGATAATGTTGGTTGATTTGATTAATTACATATGAAGGTATTTTAGCTAATATAGACTTTTATTTTTAGGACATTATCTTAAAATGTTTAAAGTGTTCTTAAATTTGTGTATTTTTTTTACATTACATTTGCTTAAATTTGCCAGTAATTATTAACTGTTGAAATTAACAGACTCGGACCATTCGTGTTTTAGTACCAAGTACTCTTAGTGATTCTAATGAAATTTTGAGGGTAAAAATTACCACAAGTGCTACATATTTTAATGCTAAAAAAGTGTCGATAAATTCATCAGGGACGTGCATATATGAGTTATCACTGGAATATATTTAAAAAAAACATGTGCACAACTGATTTTTTTTCTTTTAATACCAAAATTGTGTAGGCCGTTTAATGCCAATTAAAAGTTATCTCTTGATATTTTGTCGAATTTGACCTCCTTGATGAGATAAAATAAAATTTATATATTAAAATTAAAAATTATATATTTTACCTAATTTATTATTAAATACTATTACTATTAGTTATTATTACTATATTCTACAAAATGAATTTTGACCGTTATTTTTTACCAACATGGCAAATATAAAATCCCTCTATCCAAAAAGTTACTGATATTCTTTAAAATGAGTGCCTGAACGAATCAAATAGGTAACTCTTTTTACTTTCGTGATATAGAAAAGGAAAATAATAAAATAAGTGACAGTTCTTCCTCTTCTTGCAAAAATCAACGCGAAATGTCATAATTGGCAAAAGTAAAATGTCATCAGCCTTTGACATTTCTAAATATCAGACCAATGTCGTCTCTAATAGAACAGCCTCGGAGCGAGATTTATGACGTCACGCTATTTAGATACCACGGATTAATAAATATGTTGTAGAATACACGGAAAACATAATTATTCCTCGTATTTTTGGTTTGTATTTTAAAAATGATATAGTTTACATGAAATATACATAATATATAGTTAATAAATACAATATATATACCTATTTATAGTAATAAATACTTTGGCAAATAAAACTATGAACCATACAAATGCAGCAAATGTTTAACAATATACAAATAATGAATAGGTACATAAGATAACGGGTAAAATGTAAAATATATTTTAAATTTTGGGGTTTGAAAATCGATCTAATTTAACAAAAAACATTCAGTATCTACTAATAGTGATATATTATTATTTGCATTCACAAAATTTATATGTATATTTTGCAAGCATCAATGTTCGAAAAATTATATTTGCAAATAATACAATATCATAGAAAAAAAGGCGTCAGCGACGGCTATGAAATAAAGATCGCTGTCATTTTATATGTAAAATTATTCTAAATTTTTTTATTTTCTTGGGATTTGGGTTCGGGAAAAACGCTGATTAAGTTTTCATTTGGTTTTTCATTATTTTTTTTTAGTTTAAAAAAACGTCATAGCTAACGTTTATAGCTTTCATCAGTGTTGTGTCACATGAAAAAAAATAGTGTCGAATATAATCCAAAAAATTACATATACGAGGAATAATTATGTTTTCCATGTATTCATGTATTCTACAACATATTTATTAATCCGTAGTATCTAACTAACGTGACGTCATAAATCTCGCTCTGAGGCTGTTCTATTAGAGACGGCATTGTATCAGCATGACCGCAAGTTGCTAACCTAATAAGATATACACTAGAAAAGCCCGCGGGAACTGTCAAGTTCAAAGTTATTCGTTTCACAGACTATATTAATCCAACCTACAACCATTTCAAATAAAAAAATATTGGTATTTAAGATAATTACAAAAAACTTAATTTTAAAAAGTTTCTAAAAACTCTAAAACTATGCATTTCCATACCCATGCTTATAGGAACTTTTTTCATATTTTTTTATGAAGAATCAGTGAGTACTTATTTAAAATTTTCGCAAGTTAATAATATTATTTTTTTTTTAAATTACTATTAGGCTTGGATCAAGGCAAATTAATAAAATTGCGATTATCTCATCAAGGAGGCCGAAATTGGCAAAATATCACGAGACAACTTTTAATCGGCATTAAATTGTTTACACTATTTCGCTAACAAGAGAAAAAAAAGTCAGTGGCGTACATGCATTATTTAGGAAAATATTTTAGTGATAACCCATATGCACGTCCCTGGTGAATATGTCCACACCTTTTCAGCTTTAAAATAAACCGCATTTATAGTAACTTTTACCCCCAAAATTTCATTCGAAATGCTAAAAGTACTTGGAAGAAAATTATAATAAATCGAAAAAATATTAAGATTTTAAAACCCTGTTAAATAACAGCACGAAACAAAACAGAATCGGACCCTATATTGATATGAAAAATAAATCTTATTTTTACGAGAAGAATCTTCCTACGAGAGATGGCACATGTTTTTTGAAACACCCTGTATAGGCAATCTAAACTTTAAGTTAATATTATCTGCTGATAATGCTAACATCGTTAACTTACGTTCAGAGCTTCTTAAAAGTTTATATTGTGGCAGATTTGTGTATTTTTTCTTTTAATTAAAGGAAAATAATAAGTCGGACACAAATTACAAAGTTATTTTATTAAATATTCAAATATTCGATACAAAAGAAGGCAGTATTTTCTAATTGGCATAAATATAAATGTGAAATTCCATACCATGACTTGTGTCAGATTCCATTAAGATCGTAGCAAAACTATGTTCGACACCACCTGCAGTGATATTAGCATGTCCGAAGTGATCAGTCCGTAGATTGAGAACTTTAATGCAATATATTTTCTTGTCACCATAATAAGTTACCTAAAAATAGATAATATCCTATCGTGGCCCAAGTGTATAGAGTTCTTAGAGATATAGGATAGACAGATAGAATAACAGAATAGATATAGTAAACGCCACGAATGTTTGGGAGTGATTCATCGCTTGATGAAGTTAGAATCGACACGCGCGCTATCATTTTTACATTAAAAACGTAAATTTTTACCGCAGACGTAGGTTTTTAAAGGCCCGCTCTAATCATCTACCTACCCTCCTCATACTTATTCTAAAATGTTAGCATGATTGACAAAGACGATACTATATCGCGTTTCTTTGATTAATTCGTTTTTGTGCGTCAGTCCATTGGTGTGCTTGCAGTGCGACCAATGGGGCATTCAATTTTATATTTATAACCAAATATATGTTTCGACAAGACTTTGACAGTTAAAACAACAAATTACAACAGATTATATATTGATTATTATATGACTTGAAACACCACGGCACTGGAATTAAGTTTTATGTGACCTTGAACAGATTATACTGTATTCAAATTCAAAATGCACCAATATAAACGAATGCACAGTGCGTGATCAGCACGTGTCAGGCGAGAGCCAGCGGCGAAATCTACCCTGATTGGCCGGCTAGCCATAGAGCCGTTGAGGTAGGCGATTGAGATTTTTTACAGGGTCGACTTGCATAGCGCGTTAAGGAATACTCTGTGATAAAATAAAAATGCTTTTTAAATTTATTCCCAACCAAGCGAGTAAAATCAGAACGGTCAACTATTTCAATAATAATTGTTGATCACTTCGTACAAGTTACAAGTTACAAATAGAGAAAATATTATTTATGTTTGCATAAAATATTTTTACAATTTAGTACACACGTACCTACTACAAAAAGTCAAAAGTTATATATTTTATATAAAATTATTATTTTGTAAATGTTAATAAAATTATAAATTTTGTAAATCTAATGTTAATAAATGTTATGTTTAAAAATAGAAGTTTTTATTTGACTAGTTTTTCAAAAAAATGTCGTTATACTTTAAAACGGATAATACAGCAGGCTACGAAAGCAAGTTAAAACTAAGTGCTTTTTTTGTCAACTAAAATGTATTAAATTATGTTATAATGCAATTGGTCTTTTAAATGATGTAAAAACGTTTACATCATTGCATTTTTTGCAAATAGTATTATAGAAACAGATACCTATTTATACCGATATTCAGATATTGCTGTCAATAATGGAAATAAAAAAAATCAGTAGTACCAAATAAAAAGATAATTATTTTAAAGGACAAATTAAGCCCTTTTAAAAAACACCAAATTTGTTAAAATCGGTCGTGCCAAAGAGTAATGTAATATTTTAATATTCCCGCCCCCTTCCCATCACTTTATTTCTCTAATTATATATTTAGTTTGATAATAATTAAAGGTAATTATTAAGAAAACTGGAAATCGCGCGTCCGATTTTCACCAAAATTGGTATACACCCTATTTTGAGATCGTAGATTACGAATCTGAACATTTTTCCTGGCGGTCTCTTACCGTTTTTCAGAAAAACGGAAAATAGTTTCAACATAGAATTTTACTTAATTTCTCATATTTTTAAGGTTTTCTCGCACATATTTTGTTAGGTATTCAATAAACAATAAGGTCTTTGCTATTTTCTGTTACTTTTTTAACCAATTCTATGCATAATAGAGGAAAATTTGCTAAAATAAATTTGTAAACAATCTGAAAATGTTGGGTTATGTGTTTCTGGCATTTAAAGCAACGTCGCCAATGCTGAACGTAAATTTAGCGTGTTTTTTTCGCTCATTCTGGGATTACGAAAGGCGGTTGCCTGAGGAACGGCTCCTTCCCATAACTGCTATTTTACCAACGAGATCTGACTATTTATAACCACGAAGTGGCACGAAAGAGTTTTGTTTGGTTTGGTTAGGTCATTTTTGTTTGGTTTGCCACAACTTCTATGCGGAGGGTGTTAATCTTTTTTTGTTATATTATATAAAAAAAAGATTAACCCCCTCCGCAAAGAAGCTGAAACCAATGCAATCAAAACTCTTTCATGCAACTTCGTGCTTATAAATAGTATTTATATAACTTCTTTGCGAAGGGGTTTAATCTTTTTTTAATATAATATAACATAAAAATATCAACCCCCTAAGCATAGAAGTTGAAAGCAATGTAATTAAAACTCTTCCGCGTAACTTTGTGGATATAGGTATATTTAACTATTGTCAAATCTCATAATAGGTAATTTATTTAAAATCCCTAATCACCCGAAAAAAAATCAAATATTTGTCTCTCTCATTACATAGGAGAGAGAAAGAAGAATATATGAAATGTCAAACTTTCATCTGGTCTCAATTTTCTTTGTTATTTTGTTAAGAAAAGTGTTTTTCAGTAAAATTTTGCACATTTTTCAATCCTCAATCAAGTGTGGCTTTTAGATAAACTATGATATAATAAAAATATAGTGAAATTATTACTTTATAGGGCTGAAATAAAAAAAAATCAATGTTGAAATTATTTTCCGTTTTTCTGAAAAACAGTAAGAGACCGCTGGTTGGTTAGGTTTGATCAGATTCGTAATCTACGACCTCAAAATAGGGTGTATACCAATTTTGGTGAAAATAGGACGATTTCCAGTTTTCCCAATAATTACCCATTTATATAATATAAATTTCCATCATAAAATATAAACAATATTAAAAAATCATAAAAATATACATAATATAATTTTATGATTTGAAATATCCGACCTTAGTGCCGGTCCTGGTTATATTACTACAGCGTTCCTGTTCACGTGCTTGCCTCATGTCTCTGTTTACGTTTGGTGCATCTTGGGGTTGAATTTACTGTAGTTCACATGGTAGCGACCCATGAATCACTCCCAAACATTCGTGGCGTTTACTATACGAGTATTTGACTAATACGAGTATTTCGTATGACTTTCGTATGATTTCTTGACTGATACGAGTATTCAGACTGATACGAGTATTTCGATATACCATAATTCTGTATACAGGGTGTCCCAACAATAAACTTCTACGCTAATTGAAACCACTAATTTATTCCACTAATTGCGAGGTTCTGAATGAAGCTTTTGTTTCTTTAATTTCAATGTCAGCATTCAGAACGTTAAAATTAGTGGTAGACATTTTCAATGAGTAGAAAAATTTATCAAACATTTTATCAAAACAAAATTTGCGAGAAATGTCATTTTGGCCTTTGATTATCTTCTGTCAAGAGAAATTGTGGTTAGAATGTTAGAAATTAACTACTAAAATACAAAAAAAATGTTCCTTAAACATGGGTATCGAAATGCATAGTTTTAGAGTTACAGGATGTTAAAATTTTAAAAAAAATGAGGTTTTTTGTAATTATATTTAATACCATTATTTTTTTATTTGAAATTGCTGTAGGTTGGACTAATAGTAATAATAACTAATAGTAATAATATTTAATAATAAATTAGATAAAATATATAATTTATTAATTATTAACAAACTTTTTTAGATCTGGCAAAAGCCTTTGACACGGTAGATCATGGTATATTATTGGATAAGCTTTCATGTATGGGAATTAGAGGCAAGGCCAATGAACTAATGAAAAGTTATCTTGAGCATAGAAAGCAGAGAGTTAAAATTAATGATTATATAAGCGAGAATAAAGATGTAACTATTGGAGTGCCTCAAGGAACTATCCTTGGGCCATTGATGTTTATTTTATATGTAAATGATTTATTAATTGGCATACAGGATGGTTGTATAATATCGTATGCAGATGATACTGCAATCATTGCTACTGAGGACACTTGGGAGCAAAGTATTAAAAAAATGAATGAACTACTAGATAAGGTTGCAAATTGGCTTGCACTTAATAAACTGTCTTTAAATATTGATAAGACTGTTTTCATGACTTTGGAAATTACTCAGATAGTGTTCCTAAATTAGTTGAAATAAAATTAAAGACATATATGTAAAAAGAGTTGATTGTTGTAAATATTTGGGTATTATTTTTGACTCTAATGTAAAATGGGATAAACAAATTGAATATCTGATTAGCAAGACTAAATATTTAATTTTTGTTTTCTATAAACTAAGAAAAATACATGGATGTTGAAATGCTTAGAACAATTTATTATGCCTTCTTTCAAAGTGTTATTAGTTATGGTATTATAGCATGGGGTGGTGCTTATGATAACTATTTTACGCTATTAAATACATTACAGAGAAGAATACTGAAAGTAATCAACAACAACTCTTTGTAATAGACAAAAAATCCATTAAGTATTGAACAAATTTATAACTTAGAAGCAATAACTTTTCACTATGAGATCTTAAAAACAAATATATAAACTCCAAAAGTATTACAAGAAACAAAAACATAATTATACCAAAAAATAGCAAAGAATAAGTGATAAAGACAGTTACATTAAAGCGATAAAAATTTTCAATCTCTTACCAACTGAATTGAAAAATTTAACAGTGGAAAAGAAAAATTTGAAGAGAACTATCAGGTTTTGGCTAAAGCGGAATACTGATCGCCTGTAGCTTAAGTTATAAGTAATTGATCTTTATTTTTGTTTGTGTTTATATTTGTTTTTGTTTCATACTTCTTAGTTTTCTTAGTTTTTTTTTTAGTTTTTTAGTTTTTAGTTGTTAATTTTTTAAGTTAAACCGGTCCGCGTACAGAGCTCTGTCTCTCTGCGGTTTATCATGTATTTCTACATTGTAAATTAACTGGTATTAATAAATAAATAAATAAATAAATAAATTTTATTTTTATATTGATTTTATTAATTTTGATTAATAAAATTGTCTTTATCTCATCAAGGAGGCCGAATTCGACAAAATATCACGAGATAACTTATAATTGACAATAAATAGCCTAAATAATTTTGATATCAAAAAAAATGTCGGCGCACATGTTTTTTTTTTGGAAAAATATTCCAGAGATAATCCATATGCATGTCACTGATGAATTTATCGACACTTTTTTAGCCTTAAAATATGTAGCACTTATAGTAACTTTTACCCTCAAAATTTAATTCGATTCACTAAAAGTACTTGGAAAAAAATTATAATAAATCGAAAGATTATTAAGACTTTAACACCCTGTAGTTACAAAACAAAGCAGAATCGGACCTATGTTGATATGAAAAATAAATCTTATTTTTACGTGAGGAATCCCCCACGAGAGGTGGCACATGTTTTTTGAAACACCCTGTACAAGGTACTATTAATTATTTTATTTATATTATATTTTCTGTGTTCACTTCTTTCGCTTATATGATTATTACTTACTGTATCACTCCTTTCGAAAAATGGAATTGCATTTTTTTTAACGTTGACACTATCGACCAACTCTTTATCTGGTGTACTATCGCAATTTCCGTCTGTTATAGTTGGACCATAGGTATTTTCTAACTTTTTATCGATTAATGATACCGAAGAAGCGTATACAATCGTGGAAAATACAATAATCGTCGCACTAAGAAATTTTACTTCCATATTTGTGCTATTATTTTATTGGTACAAAATAAAAAGAAACCTGAAAAAGATGGATGTCTTGTTTTAAAATACTAAAGTCGATTTTATTATTGACTTTATATATAGGTAGGTATCTTAGAGTTTCTTATCAGTAATAAGAATCAAGTCGTATGCATTTTAAGTGTACTCAAGTATTTTTTTAAACCGTTTTCTAGAAAGCAATTATTGATGTCTGTTTTCAGAGAAACTAAATTATAAGAAATTTGTATATCGGAAAATTTTACTTTTATTAATTGATAATAGTGATGGGAATACCGGTTCCACATGAGTCGCGTTACAGTAGCGATCGTTCCAGAGAAATACCGCGATTTTGTAACCGAGGTTCTCGACTATGCGGTATTTCTGGTCACTGTACCTACCTACTCCTATCCTTGCCGTTATTTCTGTGTCCGTATACAAATTCATAAACAATAACAATTCATAAACCCTCCAAATTTGTAAACAATAAACAATATGCAGATAGCTAGAAGAATTTAGTTATATTAGCTTTCAATCTGAAAATAAAACTGTTAAATAAATAATATAAAATAACATAATTTATTGGTATTCAATACTTTTTATTCGCCACCTTTTCTTCAGACTGGAGAATAGCTTTTTATAAGTTTTACATTTATATTTAATAATATTTAGATTTATATCCTTCTGACACACGTTATAACCGTTAATTTAAATTAAAATGCATATATTTGTAAGATAATTATATTTTTGTATCTTTTTTCTTAAAATATTTTTACTTTAGAAATATTATAGCTTAAACAATAAAAAGTAACATAATTTGAATCATTATTCGAGATATCTACGCCATAATATTAATATGCTTTTTTATCTACGTGTATGTTTTTATCTACGTATATTCCTTATTGGTGGAAAAGTTAGAAGTAAAATATTCATGTCAGATAATCAAAATAAAACCAGTCTTACTTTATACCCATGTGTTAGTAAAATGTAATTCTCTTTCTTTGCAGACTGTATAACTCTAACTAAATTTTCTTTTTTCGGTCATATTTCTTCTTTGTTTATTCTTATTTTTGTAAAAATGTTTATTTGTAATTATCTAATGTACCTAACATGTATTTATTATCAATCAAAAATTCCTAGTACCAGATCTACCAAAAATCGCGATGTCGAAAGTAACGTAACGACTGTAACGGGAGCATCAGCGCTAAGAGCGAACGACCAAAGCGCGACAGCCGAAAATTAGACCCTAGGAACGCTCCAGCAGTCGCGCGACCACTGGCATTGGAGCGAAACACGTCGCGGTATAGGTCGTTACCAGTTAGATTGTTCGTGACAGACTCCCGTGACTCTAGGAACGCGACAGTTAGAACGAAACACGTCGCTGGAACGGTTACTGCGGTTCGAGCCAACTCCAAGAGCGATTATAAATAATTTATAATTTCGTCGTTATTATGATCGTCGTTCTTCAGTAACAGGTTCCTGATTCGTTGTGGAGCGCGACACGATGTTACAAAGAAATACCTACACATCACTAATTGATAATGTTCCAGAGGTGGTATTTACTTACCCAATATAAACTAAAATAAATTAGTAATAATAATAAAAGTTGATCATTATGGTACTGGGAAATAAAACATTAAATTATTGATAATATCACATTTTATTTAAAGATTTTAATAATTTTTATCGAACAGAGATTCAAAATAATTTAAAGTGTCCTTAATATAGTTTACTTTTATATGTTTTAATCGTTATTTTCTGTAAATATTTAGTAAATACATTAAATCGGCATTTTAAGGATTACTTGTCTAGAATAGATAAATTGTCTGGAAACTTTTTAAATAATTTTTCTTTAATCAACTTGACGATTAATCAGTGACGAATGATTTATTTCATCACCAGTTGCAAAAAATAATATTTCGTAACTATTTAGGTTGTGAAATGAAACATCTTCAACATCGTCAAAAAATTATCAAAAATGTCACTTTAAATGTCAAAATTATAAAAAAAACTTATACCTACTTTATTAAATATTCGATACAAGAACATTAATATTATTTATTTTCCGTAAATATTAATAATAAATTCGATTCCATGATCTACGTAGGATTCCATTTCAATTGTGGCAAAACTATGTCCAACTCCGCCTTCAGTGACATTGGCATTGCCACCTCTGTCTGCCGATTTTTGATTGATAGCTCTGATGCAGTATATTGTCTTATCACCATAATACGTCGACTAAAAACATATAATGTTATACCGGGTGGTATGATTTTGTCAAACATTGTCAAATATACAGGGTGAGTATTAAATAAGTGCAGATATTTTTAGGGGTGGTATATTTCGAGCCCATGAACACGTCTATGAGGTTTTTTTCGCAAAAAAAGATGTTTGAAAATCGTGCATTTTCTTTTAAATTCTCCTGTATATTTTAGAATTTTTTTTAGAACTATCTGTTCACCACAAATTTTCCAACGATATAATTTCCTAATCTCTGATATTACTAGGGTGACGGCTTTACTCTATGGTTACGACACTAAATACATTTTTTTTTAATTTTCAAACTTTAATCACTTATATGTTTCTTTTATCGAGATCTACCAACCCTGAATTCAATATTTGCACTTATTTAAGACTTACCCTGTATACCCATATTAATTTATCTTGTAAATTGTAAATATCGAGCAATATAGCATATTTTAGTATGTTTAGTTTTAAAGAGTAACTGCTGTTACAATACTGGGTGACAATTTGAAAACGAACAGTATTTAATATTACCTCTACCGATGATAGTATGAAAATTTGGCGAAATACGTCAATTTACATATCAAGGGGGACAATTTTTGAGGCATTTGTTGTCGTGTTACTTTCAACCCTTTGACCCCCAGAGGGCACCTACCCCTAAAATTTTAAATAGCAACCCCTATTTCTTTTACCATTTTTGTGTTTTACCTTATAAAATTCTCAAAAAAATAATGCAGTTTATGTAGAATTCTATAAGAAACACAAAAATGGAAAAAGAAATAGGGGTTGCTATTTAAAATTTTAGGGTTAGGTGCCCTGGGGGTCAAAGGGTTGAAAGTAACACGACAAAAAATGCCTCAAAAATTGTCCCCCTTGATATGTAAATTGACGTGTTTCGGCAAATTTTCATACTATCATCTGTAGCGGCAATATTAAGTACTGTTCGTTTTCAAATTGTCACCCTGTAGATTAAAATTTTAATTTTATAAAGAAGTTTAAAATATTTACAAAAGAGAGAAGAGAATAGTCTAAAAATGGTCATATTTTGAAAAACCGCTCTGTTGATTTTGAAATTTGTAATGGATTTTTTTTATTTTTGTCTACTGGACCAAAAAAATAAAGAACTCAATTTAGAAAACTACTATTTTAGTGTGAAAATAAATTTGAATTACCCTGTACATTTGAAATATTATTACTTACTGTGGCACTTCTTTTAAAGAACGGAATCTTAGTTTTATGAACGTGATCAGTGAAAACTAAATCCTGATCTGGTGTGCTTGCACAATTTCCATCTGTTATATCTGGACCATAGGTATTTTTTAATTTTCCGTTAGCTATTAATGCGGGTGGAAAAGCATATACAACCGTAGCAAATACAAAAAACGTCACAATAATAACTTTGACTGCCATCTTCTTGCTAGTGTATGTTTTAATTTTTAACTTGAGTATGTTATAATTTTAAAAAATATATTGATTTACAATATTGATGTCAAATATGTTATTGTCTTATATACCTACCTGTAGGTATCTTATAATAGTTTCTTATCAGTAAAAATAATTCTTGTTTTCAAGCCACATCTGTCTGAAGTGGAATGATTGTGAGTAATTGTATGACAAGTAGTTTCTAGAACTAGACTGTTGCTTTTGCCAATAATATATTTATTTACTTTTTCTGATTCATAGAAAAATAAAATCATTAGAAATGTTACTTTTGTTTATTGGAAATTTAGGATTCTTAAGTTAAGTTAATTAGGTTATTTAATTTCGAGAAAAGATTAGATCAACAGAAAATGTAATCAAAAAACGTTGAAATTTCAAAAATTACTCTGTATTCTAAATCTGATAGTATTTTTGAACATATAAAACACCTAAAGAGTACATTTCACTAGTCCGAAAAAGTAGCAAAATAAGCGTTCGGCATTTAACGTTTTATGTTAAACTGGCTAGGTATTTTTACACAAATGAAGAAGGAAATTAAAGATAAACGATTATGCTATATCCGTATTGTCGCACATATTTGGACAGCTTCTTTGTATTTAAGATTTTAATGGTCAAACATCAACAAAATATTCCTTATGTTTGGACTAAATTTTCTCGAAAATAAGGACATAATTTAAAATTCCGTTACAATACGGAAATAGATTGAAGTTTTGTGATTACAGTGATATATAATTTATGTGGTTTTGTAACAAATTGCTCGCTATTTTATGGCAAATGCTGAAGCTCTGCAAACCTTAATCAAGCCTTAATCCAAGCACGTGTGTCTGGAATTTTAGGTGTGGATTAACAAGACAGGATCGGGCTAAGCCTTAGGCAGATTTCTGAAATATAATATATATTTCCTTCGGCCACACACCCGCTTTACCCGACCCCTGAGAGCAACCCGAACAGTACAGCTTAATAGCCTCTTAAGACACTCGAAGAATAATTTCAGGACAAGATTCTCTTTTGTCGACACGGTATGTGACACAACCATAGATAAAGTATAAATTATCACTGAAATATCAATTTAATGTCAATTATTAAGAATTATAACAGTAGACATAATGCAAAACGCTTTTAGTATTTCGGTATCAATTAAGCTCTATATTATTTCGAAATGATAGTGTCTAAAAGCCAGCATGTGTGCGGTGTATACAAGTTTCATCGATATATTCAGGTCAACATTATGATTTAACACATTAAAACTGCGATAGTTAAACAGTACATGAAATGCTATTTGGATTTTGGTTCCTGCTGTCTGGTTGGGTAATCTAGCGGTCAACCAACCGCTTAATAACACTTTTATATTACTTTTTTTTATAAAATAGCATAATCATATAATATGTAAAAGCAAACATAAAAGTTTACATATAGTTCATATAAAATAAACTTTTAGTCACGTGATTAAGCTTAACCGGTACAGCGTTGTCCACTTTTACATATATTTTCTTTTAATCAATATATTTCAAGAAACAAAAATAAATTAATTATAAAAATATATGAACAAGAAAGAAATAGTGAGGGAAATGTATAAAAAAGAAGAAAAAGGTTAAACGGCTTAGCCCTCAAGAACTCGTAACCGTATACACCAGTGTACTCCAGTGCAGACACGCACACTCACACACTCACACAACCACACCTACACTAGTGTACACCGATGTAACTGCCTTCAGGCTTCATCAGTACGGTAAGGAATCAGGAAGCGATGAAACCGATCCCAAAACACAAAAAACCAGGAAGCAAACGATGCAACGAGGCACCGTGTGCAACCCAGGAGATTGAAAAAAAATATTGATGAAGAAACGAAAATAAATGATGGAAAATAAAACGAGCAAACGGGAGCCTAAAGCCCCAATTTGCAGCCAAGAACCAGAGTCGTCCAGGATTGCGGGCTTCGTCCAGAACAGCCACGGAGGTAGCCAACAGCAACCCGCCGCAATACCCTTAGCCGTGGTACCAATATGAACAAGAAAGAAATAGTGAAATGAATAAATAAAAGAAGAAAAAGATTAAACGGCTTAGCCCTCAACAACTCGTAACCGTATACACCAGTGTACACCAGTGCAGACACGCACAATCACACAACCACACCTACACTAGTGTACACCGATGTAACTGCCTTCAGGCTTCTTCAGTACGTAAGGAATCAGGAAGCGATGAAACGGATCCCAAAACACAAAAACCAGGAAGCAAACGATGCAACGAGGCACCGTGTGCAACCCAGGAGATGAAAAAATATTGATGAAGAAACGAAAATAAATGATGGAAAATAAAACGAGCAAACGGGAGCCTAAAGCCCCAATTTGCAGCCAAGAACCAGAGTCGTCCAGGATTGCGGGCTTCGTCCAGAACAGCCACGGAGGTAGCCAACAGCAACCCGCCGCAATACCCTTAGCCGTGGTACCAATATGAACAAGAAATAAATAGTGAGGGAAATGTATAAAAAAGAAGAAAAAGATTAAACGGCTTAGCCCTCAACAACTCGTAACCGTATACACCAGTGTACACCAGTGCAGACACGCACAATCACACAACCACACCTACACTAGTGTACACCGATGTAACTGCCTTCAGGCTTCTTCAGTACGGTAAGGAATCAGGAAGCGATGAAACGGATCCCAAAACACAAAAAACCAGGAAGCAAACGATGCAACGAGGCACCGTGTGCAACCCAGGAGATGGAAAAAATATTGATGCAGAAACGAAAATAAATTATGGAAAATAAAAGGAGCAAACGGGGCTAAAGCCCCAATTTGCAGCCAAGAACCAGAGTCGTCCAGGATTGCGGGCTTCGTCCAGAACAGCCAGGTAGCCAACAGCAACCCGCCGCAATACCCCTTAGCCGTGGTACCAATATGAACAAGAAAGAAATAGTGAGGGAAATGTATAAAAAAAGAAGAAAAAGATTAAACGGCTTAGCCCTCAACAACTCGTAACCGTATACACCAGTGTACACCAGTGCAGACACGCACAATCACACAACCACACCCTACACTGAGTGTACACCGATGTAACTGCCTTCAGGCTTCTTCAGTACGGTAAGGAATCAGGAAGCGATGAAACGGATCCCAAAACACAAAAAACCAGGAAGCAAACGATGCAACGAGGCACCGTGTGCAACCCAGGAGATTGAAAAAAAATATTGATGAAGAAACGAAAATAAATGATGGAAAATAAAACGAGCAAACGGGAGCCTAAAGCCCCAATTTGCAGCCAAGAACCAGAGTCGTCCAGGATTGCGGGCTTCGTCCAGAACAGCCACGGAGGTAGCCAACAGCAACCCGCCGCAATACCCTTAGCCGTGGTACCAATATGAACAAGAAATAAATAGTGAGGGAAATGTATAAAAAAGAAGAAAAAGATTAAACGGCTTAGCCCTCAACAACTCGTAACCGTATACACCAGTGTACACCAGTGCAGACACGCACAATCCCTCACAACCACACCTACACTGAGTGTACACCGATGTAACTGCCTTCAGGCTTCTTCAGTACGGTAAGGAATCAGGAAGCGATGAAACGGATCCCAAAACACAAAAACCAGGAAGCAAACGATGCAACGAGCACCGTGTGCAGCAGAGATTGAAAAAAAAAATATTGATGAAGAAACGAAAATAAATGATGGAAAATAAAACGAGCAAACGGGAGCCTAAAGCCCCAATTTGCAGCCAAGAACCAGAGTCGTCCAGGATTGCGGGCTTCGTCCAGAACAGCCACGGAGGTAGCCAACAGCAACCCGCCGCAATACCCTTAGCCGTGGTACCAATATGAACAAGAAATAAATAGTGAGGGAAATGTATAAAAAAGAAGAAAAAGATTAAACGGCTTAGCCCTCAACAACTCGTAACCGTATACACCAGTGTACACCAGTGCAGACACGCACAATCACACAACCACACCTACACTAGTGTACACCGATGTAACTGCCTTCAGGCTTCTTCAGTACGGTAAGGAATCAGGAAGCGATGAAACGGATCCCAAAACACAAAAAACCAGGAAGCAAATGATGCAACGAGGCACCGTGTGCAACCCAGGAGATTGAAAAAAAATATTGATGAAGAAACGAAAATAAATGATGGAAAATAAAACGAGCAAACGGGGCCTAAAGCCCCAATTTGCAGCCAAGAACCAGAGTCGTCCAGGATTGCGGGCTTCGTCCAGAACAGCCACGGAGGTAGCCAACAGCAACCCGCCGCAATACCCTTAGCCGTGGTACCAATATGAACAAGAAGAAATAGTGAGGGAAATGTATAAAAGAAGAAAAAGATTAAACGGCAGCCCTCAACAACTCGTAACCGTATACACCAGTGTACACCAGTGCAGACACTCACACACTCACACAACCACACCTACACTAGTGTACACCGATGTAACTGCCTTCTAGGCTTCATCAGTACGGTAAGGAATCAGGAAGCGATGAAACCGATCCCAAAACACAAAAAACCAGGAAGCAAACGATGCAACGAGGCACCGTGTGCAACCCAGGAGATTGAAAAAATATTGATGAAGAAACGAAAATAAATGATGGAAAATAAAACGAGCAAACAGGGAGCCTAAAGCCCCAATTTGCAGCCAAGAACCAAGAGTCGTCCAGGATTGCGGGCTTCGTCCAGAACAGCCACGGAGGTAGCCAACAGCAACCCGCCGCAATACCCTTAGCCGTGGTACCAATATGAACAAGAAATAAATAGTGAGGGAGAAAAAAGATTAAACGGCTTTAGCCCTCAACAACTCGTAACCGTATACACCAGTGTACACCAGTGCAGACACGCACAATCACACAACCACACCTACACTGAGTGTACACCGATGTAACTGCCTTCAGGCTTCTTCAGTACGGTAAGGAATCAGGAAGCGATGAAACGGATCCCAAAACACAAAAACCAGGAAGCAAACGATGCAACGAGGCACCGTGTGCAACCCAGGAGATGGAAAAAATATTGATGCAGAAACGAAAATAAATTATGGAAAATAAAAGGAGCAAACGGGAGCCTAAAGCCCCAATTTGCAGCCAAGAACCAGAGTCGTCCAGGATTGCGGGCT